CTGTGTTTTTATATCCTTGGTATTGCCTAACCTCCTTCTTTATATAAAAGGAATTTTACTTGAAATCGTTTCTTCTAGGAAGGGATATAATCGTTTTTCCTTACCTAAGCAGATGGAAAATACTGCAAAAATATTGGATTACGCTAACACGCCAGGTCTTCGCTACTATGTGAATGGCGAAATTAGGCGAAAAGAATGTACATGTTTGGTTAAACCAAACCTCGTAGTTTACGCTAAAGTGATTTGAGCCTGATTGGTCTTGTCTATTCCGAGACATTGGAGGGAAAAATAGAACTAAAATTAGGTTTTGGCTTGCCCTTAATTCCATAGTTTGAAGGTAATTCGAAGTGAGATTCCTAATGTGAGCAAAGAAATTGTGGTTCTTTGTACAAGGTACAAAAAGCAGTAGTTAACTTACCTTTGAAACAAAAGTAACATGTTTGAAAATAGCCATCTCACTTGGGTGGCCCAATATTCGGAAATCTCAGAATTTTCGCTGAAACTTGGCTCACAGGCTATTTGACATGCTAATTACCAAGGCGGTGCTTCTATGCTTTTATAGACCTTTTATTCTGCTTACTGTACCTGATGGTAGGCTAAAACATCGTTGTATTTTGCACGATGGGCCTATCTGAAATTGTTAACGAATATCATGTTATCTCTAATGTCAAAATCACCTTGACAACGACCTCCTCCCCCTCTCTGACCCCTCAATACGACACCCCAGGTGTGGCATGCCACACCCCAAGCTTGACACTGTGCATATCTCAACCTCCAGTATATAAAAACCGGAAAGTTACAAGCCTACGAAAATACGTCGTCACGCATTTTGCCCAAATATAAAGATCGCATGCTTCGTCGAAACACCGTGACTGGTCATGACAGTCTAAATGCAAGTATTATGTTCACTTTGCCCAAGGGATCCCACTGTACTGAATATGATGATTGAGTGTGTTTAGGCTGCTTAGCTGAATCAGCTTCGTGGATAGAGATCACTTCTATCTAACTATCAAATCCACAGGAAGATCCATTGAGCGATGTGAACAGATTTGATCAGCGTTTCATACAACCAGTCACGGTGGATTTTCGACGAAGTATGCGATCTTTATATTTTGGGTGAAATGCATGAAGGTGTATTTTTGTAGCTTGTAGCTTGGCGATTTTTATATATTTGAGCTTGAGATATGCACCATTCCTCGCGATTCACATAGTAGCGAGGACCTGGCTTGTTAGCGTAACCCAATATTTTTGCAGTATTTTCCATCTGCTGCTAAGGAAAAACGATTATATCTCTTCCTAGAAGAAATGATTTCAAGTGAAATTCCTGTTGTATAAAGAAGGAGGTTGAGCAGTACCAAGGATATAAAAAACACAGCTATTTGAATGCTTTGAAGGTAAGTTAATGGGGTGTGGCACAACCCCTAAAAGCTGCGGCAGCCACAGCTTTTCTGGGGTGGTGCCACACCCCATTGACTATATCAAAAAACGGTTTTAGCAAACAATGTTTATACGCGTCGATAGCTCTCTCATAGATTCCATAGGAATGTTTTAAGCCTGATTCGTCTTCTTAGCTCTGAGTAATATTTGGAGAAATAACAGCGATCAAAAGCAAAGAAAACGAAAATTTGGTTGGCTTCTAATTCCATAGTTTGGAGGACTTTTAAAGTGGGATTTCTGCAGTGGACAAAAAAGGAGTAGTGCTTTGTCTTGAATGCAAAATATGTAGCTAATTCACCTTTGAAACAAATTTAATCATTTTGGAAAATGACCATTTCACTTAGATGTACCAGTATCTTGAATCTTCAGAATTTGCTCAAACTGTCTATAGGGGTTAAATGACATGCTAGTTATGGATGTGTTGCCGGCTATCTTTGACAGGGCCTTCAAGTATGTGCCACACCTCTTGCTTGACCCTGGATGTGCACCATTCGATGGCAGCAAATTTAACCTTCATAAGCAGCAGGCAGGTTTTCTGAGATACGCGAGAGGTGCAGGCGAAGGTTACGAGCTGTTCGTGACTCCGTTACAGTCAGCTCACCATATCTCCGCAATAAGACCTCATACTTGACAAAGAACAGGATTTTCATGAACAGCGTGTTCGAAAAGCTCTATGAGCAGAGTTTCCTTCCAAACCAAGATCATCACCATTTCGACCAAAACCCACTGGCGAGCGTGAAGCAAGAAAAAATCAAATAACCTAAAGTTCTCTGAAAACTTGCTCATAGGGGTTATCCGACTTGCTGATTACAAAACTCATGTTTGCTCAGCAGGATAGCTTTGTATTTTAGGGTTACGACGAGTAGAATTTGAGACAACAAGATTTTTTTTACAATTTACGAGCCCTTTTATCACCATTGGAAAGACTGTCGAATGGATGCTGTCGAATGGTCCTTGCTGGAATGTACTCGGGACAATGCTCGCTGCTTTACACCTCCGCGAAGAGACGTCCACAGGAAGATTTAAAAATACTGAAATCGAAATATCAAGGACATGCTGTACATCGAAAAATCGCCTTGATGAGCTGAGCACAAGGCTGTTTTCCGATTTAAAATATACTTTTTGCGAAGGAAGTTATGGCGAGTAGAATTTAAAAACGCGTGATTTTTCCAGAATTCACCAACGCTTCTATCTCCCTGGGAAAGAAGTCTGAACCTATTTTTTGCTCACAATAATCACAAGAACAGTATTATCGAATAGTACTTAGTGGAATCCTCTATGTTGGATAGACGCTGCTTCACGTATTCGCGAAAGAACCTCCGCAGAAGAATTTGAGAAAACTGGAAACGGGATATCGAAGACGCTGTACATCAAAAGATTTGTCTCGACGATCTGAATACAATGCTGCTCGCGGATTTAGATTATATTAGGTCGTTCCGAAAATAATGTCGCTTTTTTTCGAATGAAGGCCGCTAATCGTGGAATCAACATTATCAAAAGATCTTAGGAGCATTCGATGCAGCATTTTATCCTCTTTTTAATGGTTCTAATTTCACTGCATAATGTTCAATGAGCTCTCGAAAAAATAGCAAAATCTGCGACTCATGCTTTTTGCCATGATTAAGTTCGGCTATTTTTCTAAGTTTTTGTACCTAATCTCCGAAAAAGTACAAGTGACAGGTAGATAGAGCAAACACTATAGAACACAGACTAATGTTTTTCTCTTTCTTAGCTTGCTTCTCAGAGTTTCTACAACCAATTTCTCAATGCCATCAAATTCCATATTTAGTCAAGTCAAACCTCACAGAACAACAACCGTCAAGCGACCCGGGTGTCATTCGATGCAGCTTTTTCTCCTCTTTCTAGCGGTTGTTTTTTGTTTCCGATTCATCAAGTTTTCCGGTATAAAATCTCATAATTCAACTTTTCCAAGGGACCCCAAAGTGTACCTGAAATTTTCAAAAATTGCTAAACCGAAACAGTGAATGCTCGTTTGGTTTGAAAAATTGTTGCCAAACCATAATCCATCTTTGTAGGTTTCAAAATCCGAAGACTTGTTGGCGTTTGATGCACTTATGTCTAAGGCGAGCCTGCTAAAATTCGGTGGTTCCACTAAAAAATCTGTACAAAAATTATGACGAGCTCTGGAAAGTAGAAAAAAGTTGTGCTGTTTCCTGTAGGGTATGCTCCATCCATCCATTATTTGGACTCCTTCTGAGGTTTGTTACAAAATTTTGGAAAAATTGTGAAACTTGGCCATTTCAAAAACATAGGTTGCAGATACTGATAAGTTTTTCAGAGATTATTCAATTTTATGCGGTAATTATATAACCACTAGAAAGAGAATGAAATGCTACATCAAATGCTACCAGAGTCTCTTACACATCTTTGTTCCACGAGATGTGGCATACGTTTGAAAAAAGCGACATTACTTTCGGAACAACCTAATATTTGTTCCAAAGGAAGTTATGGCGTTGCGTATTCTGCGTGTTTCCCATGATTACGCGGATCCTGGAATGTCGCAAACTTCCCGGATTATCCACTTTGGCGGAAATCCCGGAATTCCGCGAAGTTCACAGAAATTTTGACATTCTGTGCGCGGTATTGTGATCTTGAGCAGATTTTAGAACAAATTCGATGAGAGTGACTCTCTACCATACTCCTACAGTATACTTTCTATGTGTCATCAGCGACAAATCAATGGCAATACTGTTAGCAGCACGCTGAACAATTTAATCAAACAATAATCTGCAAAATTGAGTGAAAACTTACTGTCTAGCGTATGCCTATCATATCATGCTGGGTTGTGGCACTCCTATACACTACATGATGCGTCTTGCCAAGCTGAATCGAAAGGTGTCCTCGGATTCAGAATTCGTCCATTCTGAAGCGAGATATGGTGATGCGACGCGGACTCCGACGGACTCTGGTGGAGTGTGGCGCACTCTGCTGCACTCCGGCGCACTGCAGCGCACTCCGGCGGACTGTAGTGCAGTGCGGCGCCCTCCGCTACACTGTAGTAGACTGCGTCGCACTCGGCGCACTGCAGCGCATTCCAGCGGAGTGCGCCTAGTCCGGCGACTTTTTTGACGAATTATGAGCGGTATTGTACAAGACGAGGTGCAAACTTGAACAAACTAGAGTTGTAAGGCCTGAAGCTCAACACCAGGAAGACAGAGTATATGTAAGTGGGGAAACAAACTCCAGGTACCATAAGCATCGATGGTGAAGAGCTAAAGAAGACAACGTCATACAAGTACCTAGGCAGTCATATCTCAGCGGAGGGAGGCTTATAAGAGGAGGTCGCAGGCAGGATGAACACAGCATGGATGAAATGGATGGAGAGCCTTAACAGGAGTTCTGTGCGACAGACGAATGCCAGTGCAACTTAAGTCCCAAATGTACCGGACCGTTATCCCTCCAGCAGCACTGTATGACAGTGAGGGCTGGCCGTCTACGCGGAACGAGGAGCGCAAGCTCAGTGTCATTGAAACAAGGATGCTACGATGGACCTTAGGAATTACACTGAAGGATCACATCTGCAATGACACTATACGAGCGCAATGAAAGTAGCTCCAATTGCCCAGAAAGTGCTGGAAAAAAGGTACGATGGTATGGGCATGTGTGCAGAGGGGATGAAAGTCACATTACCAAGTTAGCTCTGGCTGTGGAGGCACCAGGCAAAAGGCCCAGAGGTAGACCCAAGATGAGGTGGATGGCCAGAATCAAGGTCAACCTGCAAGAACTTGGTATAAACGAAGACCTTGCCTCAGATAGGATGACATGGAGACATCTGACAAGAAAAGCAGACCCTGCTTAAGCGGGACACATGCGAGGATAAAAAAGCTAATAATGCTTTGTAGAGCCTTTCTGTCATGTTTACTATAGGCAAAAGAATGCTGGGGGAGGGGTTGGGGAAGTATTGAGACGGCGATTGTGTGCCACACCTCTTGCTCGACCATGCTTGGATCGTCGATCTTTCTCAAATCATGTCTCATGTAGTTGTATGTGAGTGTGCTCTCTCTCTCTCTCGGTGTTTGCTGCGCGAACTAATTAATTCACAAGGGAAGACGGGCAGGGTTTGAACTATGCAAACAAGTGAGACAGCTGGCATGACTCTGCTTATCAATGGCTAGCGTCAGCAAAGTTCTGCAGAATACAATGAACTTATCATGATAGTTACTTGGTGGTTTGACGCAAAAAGCAGATATACGCTGAATTGCTCAATAATCTTGCGCCTTACATACCGTAAAACAAGATGCAGAGAAATCTAAATAATGAGGAACTTCTGGGCTGATTAGTACTTGTACTTAGCATCAAGGAACTTTTAGTTCAAAAAGCAGGAACATAACGTACAGCGATCTAGCCTCTCTACTGAAAAACAAAGTTTGATAAATTCAACTTGGACACATCGTCATCCAAACCATTTCATTTCAGGAACAAGGAGCAGTTTTCGTTCGTTACAACAGAGGGAACCGGGAGGAAACTTGAAGAAAACGAACTAAAATCAAGGAGGTAATGCGAAGATATGTTCAGTATTCACCGACTTGTCGATGACTGTAAAAAGAAAAGAATGCATCGGCTTGATGACCATCTTCTCTGGTGCAAGTAATGTAGAGGACATTAAGGCCCGTATGCACGTACAATACCGCTCATAGAATGTGCAAAATTTCCGTGAATGTCGCAGAATTCCAGGAATTCCGCGAAGGTTCGCGAAATTTCGGGAATTTCACGAAATTCCTGGAATTCCGCGAAAATCCGGAAATTTCGCGAAATTCATGTGAATCACGCAAATTACGCAGGGCCATAACTTCTTTCCGAATGAGTATATTGGAAATCCAAAAACGGCATTGTATTCAGCTCGTCAAGGCGAATCTTCTGATGTACAGGTTGTGTCCAATACCTTGTTTTCAATAATCTTGAATTTGCATGCCGACGCCTCTTCGCATGGTGGTAACGCAACGAGCATCAAATATAGGAGACTGCCGTGGACACCATTTGAAAGTACTCTTTCGCTAGATTATCGTGCGCTAAACAGCAGCCGAAGACTCTCTTTCAAAAGAGATAAAAGAGCTGATAAACTCTGGAAAAATCAAGCTGTTCCAAGTTCTACTAGCCGTAACTTCCTTCAGAATGAACATCTTCGAAATCCGAAAACAGTATTGTGTTCAGCTTGTTAAGGCGAATCTTTCGATATACAGCATGTCCTTGAAATTCCATTTCCAATTTTTTCGAAATTTTCTGCGCGCGTATATTCACAAGGTCGCCGCACAGCGTACATCAAGCATAAAAGACTCCACAAGCACTGTTGGATTGTGCTGCTTTCGCAGATTATCGAGCGCTAATAATCAACCGGAGAATCTTCTTGAAGAAAGATAGAAGAGCTGGTGAATTCTGGAAAAATCGTGTTGTCTTAAATTTTGCCCACTGTAAATCTAAAATGGGAAGCTCTCCTGCTAAGCAGATGTGATTTTCGTAATCAGTAGGTCAGATAACCTCTTTGAGCGAAGTTTCCTTATAATCCAAGATCATCGACATTTTGACCAAAACTCATCGGCAGCTTCAGGGCGTAGAACGAGAAAAAATCAAATCTCCCGAATTTCTTTGAAAACTTGCTCATAGAGGATATCTGACCTGCTGATTACGAAAATCACATCTGCTTAGCAGGAGAGCTTCCTATTTTAGATTGACAGTGGGCAAAATTTGAGACAACACGATTTTTCCAGAATTCACCAGCTCTTCTATCTTTCTTCAAAGAAGATTCTCCGGTTGATTATTAGCGCTCGATAATCTGCGAAAGCAGCACAATCCAACAGTGCTTGTGGAGTCTTTTATGTTTGATGTACGCTGCGTGGCGACCTTGTGAATATACGCGCGCAGAAAATTTCGGAAAAATTGGAAACGGAATTCCAAAGACATGCTGTATACATTTAGATTCGACTTGACGAGATGAACATAATGCTGCTTTCGGATTTCGAAAATGTTCATTCTGAAGGAAGTTACGGCCAGGGTCAAGCGTGGGGTGCGGCACGCCACACCTGGGGGGTCGTATTGAAGAGTCAAAAGGGGAGGGGGTCGTAGTTGGGTAATCTGATAATAGTGATAACATGATATTCGTATCATATCCATAATTAGCATGTCAATTAACCCCTGTAGACAAAGTGTGAGCGAATTCTGAAGATTCAAGATACCAGGCTACCCAAATGAAATGGTCAAATTCCAAAATGGTTAACTTTGTTTCAAAGGTGAAGTAATAACTATCCGTTTTTGTATTCAAGACAAAGCACTACTCCTTCTTTGTCCACCTCAGGAATCCCGCTTCAGAAGACCTGCAAACTGTGGAATTAGAAGCCAACCAAAATCTCGTTTTTCCCATTTTTCGCTTTTGATCGCTGGCTTTCACCAAATATTACTTAGAGCTAAGAAGACAAATCAGGCTCCAAACAGTCCTATGGAATCTACTAGGTTTAGGCTATCGATTCATATAAATACTGTCCGCTAAAAATGTTTTTTTGATACAGTTAATGGGGTGCGGCACACCCCCTTAAAAGCTGCGGCTGCCGCAGCTTTTAAGGGAGTGTGCCGCACCCCCTTAACTTGCCTTCAAAATCCAAAAAGCGCTCCATTGCTGGGAGTATGGAGCACATAGCTTCTTCTTGCTACACTGGAAATTTGGAGCCGAACGCCCCACCCATAAGAAAATTATGGCCCTTTCAATATGCCCATTCAGATCAAAATCAGCCGTCAAATTACGAGTGATTGTAAAGTGCAGTCACAGAAAATCGGGCGTACAACTCTCAGAAATCTGAAAACTCTCTAGAAAAAAATGGTGTCCTCCAGAATGTCACACTTTGAGGTCCAGAGGTTAAGCGGAGGAAGAAGGGGTCGTTTGAGGGCTTTCATGGGAGGGGGGGGGGGTTCGAAAGACTTGTGCCTGACCTCTTTCTCAACTCTGGTAATGCTATCTTAGGTATATAGTTCAGGGGGGGGGGGTCTTATTAAGACAGCAATCAGGGGGGGGGTCGTAACCAGCGATCATGTGCCACACCCCTTGCTTGACCCTGGTTACGGCTAGTAGAACTTGGAACAGATTGATTTTTCCAGAGTTTATCAGCTCTTTTATCTCTTTTGAAAGAGAGTCTTCGGCTGCTGTTTAGCGCACGATAATCTAGCGAAAGAGTACTTTCAAATGGTGTCCACGGCAGTCTCCTATATTTGATGCTCGTTGCGTTACCACCATGCGAAGAGGCGTCGGCATGCAAATTCAAGATTATTGAAAACAAGGTATTGGACACAACCTGTATATCAGAAGATTCGCCTTGACGAGCTGAATACAATGCCGTTTTCGGATTTCGAATATACTCATTCGGAAAGAAGTTATAACCCTGCGTAATTTGCGTGATTCACATGATCGCGAAATTTCCGGATTTTCGCGGAATTCCAGGAATTTCGCGAAATTTCCGAAATTTCGCGAACCTTCGCGGAATTCCCGGAAATCAAATCAAATGCGACATTCACGGAAATTTTGCACATTTTGTGAGCGGTATTGTACATCCCCGCGGGGAGGGGAGGTGATCTGAGAGGGGAAGCGCCATATCTCACTGCTTTAGATATCTTTCTTCTTTCTTCTCTATCGTGCTTACGAGGATTCTCATACCCTTATACCGGCGCATAATAGATGCCAGGTTACTGCTATACAAGATTAAATATTCACTATTTCTTCTGATCCCCTGGGGATCCCCAGGGGATCATCTCACATTTTCGAAATCGTTTATCTTCCTGAAAAATGAATGAAAACGCTGCAAAATTGTACTGAAGATATACTAGATTGCTGAGCATGTTTTCGACAGAAGAAATGGAATCTGAAGATTTTGATTTTTTCGATAATCCCTGGCTCGCGAGCAGCGGTTCATCGAAGATTTTGATGTCTTGAGATTTCACTCATTTCTACCATAAATATGTTTAGCAGTGCTGTAGTAAATCCACAGTACAATTTTAGAACATTTTCATCGAGTTTTCAGAAAGATAGATAACTTTTAAAATGAGAGGTCCCCTGGGCATCCCCAGGGGACCTCTCATTTTAACGATCTGACGAAATAGTGAATATCTAATCTTATATGGCAGTAACCTAGCATCCGTTATGCGCAAGTATCAGTGTATGAGAACCTTCAAAAACAAGACAGAGAAAGAAGAAAAAAGATACATAGACTAGCGAGATATGACGCTTCCCCTCTCAGATCCCCTCCCCTCCCCGCGGGGATGTACGTGCATACGGGCCTAAGTCGTTAATAGGCTCCACCCGCGCGGACCAATATCACTAGTGTGACGGAGAAAAGTGCGCGTGTTGTAGATGACCTACCCTTTCGGCGACCTGATGTCCTCTACCCAAGGTAATTACCCTCCTAAGGCAGTTTTTAATTGAATTATGTTGAGTTTGATGGCAAGTCTACAATTCTGCACAGGAGTTTGGCAGTCCCAAAAAATCTGAACACTGTTTGATCGTTGATAACTCCGTTGCTTATGTCTTTCGCCGAGCTTGAGGATCATTCTGTAGAGCGAGGTTTAACTTAAACGTGCAATATGGAGCGAATCACCGATCGCTGTTCGTTACTGTAGGATTACGGTATGAATCTAGCATGTGGATCTATTGTGAAATATGCCATTTGACAAAATTTTTTTCAAAAAAAGCTGAAATATCCTAGGTTCTTCGCGCACGCTGATTCCAACACACAACTTTTTACGAGTGTTTTTAGCTTCTTTGACGGTGTAGTTACACTTCTAACAAATGCTGGAAATTTATTATTACGGTTTAGAAAGGATAAACTTGAAAAGAAGCATCACAGTAAAGCGGAAATTTCGTATTCGAACTCAGCGGCTTCCATTAGCATGATATAAAAGTTTCTGGCTTGTTTGGTTCTGTTCCGAGGAGAATATGGCCTCTAATGGCCTAAAATTCTTGTCGAAGTTCCTATCATAATCTTACAGTAATGAAGAGAGATTAACGATTCGCTCCACACTATGGATCTAAGTTAAACCTCACTTTATAAAATGGTGCCTCAAGCTCGGCGAAATACATGAAAGCAAGGGAATTATTAACAATCAAACAGTTGGGATACCCTGTAAGTTACAAAAAATTGCTGAATGATAGTAATAGTAGCAATTAGTAACATTTCAAAATCGCACTTCAAGCAAATATCCCGTTTACAACTAAAACGCAATGATATGACACCAAATTGGGGAACACATGCGCGTGAACAGACTCAAACTAACAAAAAATTCATGCATACTCAATTGAATGAAAGCCGTGCCCAACTTTCAAGTGGAACCAGCTGAATACCTGCTAAGCTGCAGCCATATTCATCAACGAACACTGAGGGTAAACCCTAGCCTGGAGTAAATTTTACCCAGAATGCATAAGACACGTACTCTCAAAGCACGAGGTAGGCTCAACATTGAGGAAATTATGCCTTAAAGGTAAATCTTACTCAAAGCGAATAACCCGTATTCACGAACGT